TATTTTTGTATGTATGTATTTTGGAGCTCATATCCTTTTTTAAAGTACATTTTAAAGCACTTTTAGACGCTTTTACTTTTTAATTTCACAACTTTTGGGACAACTAATGAATAATTACACAGAGGGTTTATTTCTGCTCATGTCATCAAACATTGAATGGGCTCAGTAGGTTTTTTTTTGAAATCCCTGGTTTTGCTTCCATCCAGACTTATGGAGTAATGACGCACAGAAATCTCCAGGTGAGTTGTGCCACTGTTTCTTTATCCCTTCTGTTATATTTATTCTCAGGGATATTTGTGCAGAGGCTTCAGTGTCTGTGTGTGGGTGAAGGAGTGAGGAGGTGATGTCACTGCTGAGCAGGACGTGTCCACACTGTCTCTTTAATTTCAGCTCAGTCCAGGGGGCAGGATCCTGCTTCTTTTTTCTCCTGGAGTCGAAGCGTTTGCACCACAGCAGCAGCAGCAGCAGCAGCAGCAGATTGAATGAGGCGTCCCTGAAGGCTGCTTGTCCACACGGAGGACACCGAGCTGGCCTCTCCGAGATGCCACAATGCATCTGTGCGTTTTGAGCTCCTGAGCGATGCGGATAGCCTCCTCTCCACACGTCCCGTTTTGGATGTGTGTCTTCTGTTTTTTTTGTTTTTTTTGCAAAGGAAGCTGCGGGGCCTTGAGGAGCCAATCTCCGCCTTGATCGTATCTGGACAGCAGGCGACTGGCAGCCCTCCGCACGGATGATAAAAGAACTTGGGAAAGGAAATAGTCAAGATGGCAGCTGTGCACGGAGTGATAACGCTGATGTGGAGGCATTAGATGAAGTCATTTTCATTTTCTTGCAGTGCGCACGTCGCAGGATCGCGAGTCTGCAGGACGCGGGGCAAACGTCGTCTTGACTCTCCGCTGACTTCCTATCGCTTCTCTCCACATTTTGCCAAATTGCAGCGCGTGTTGTCGAGGGTGTGGGCTGCAGGAGGACAGCCGATGTTTTAGTTCATGCTCCGTGCTGCAGATTGACGCCTTGCAGGAGGACGGACAGACGGACACGTGCTGGGCTGCAGCCTGGACATTTGCACCGTAAATGAATCTGCCGCTGAATCCTGCACACAACATTGATGGAATGCGACCTGAGTGATTTTATTCCCCTTTGTGCGAGAAGCGAGAATTTGCGATCGACATGGCTGAGGCGTTCATCGGCAACGAGCCTCCGCTGAACGTCGAGATCGACCCGGATTTCGAGCCCCAGAAACGGCCACGGTCCTGCACCTGGCCCCTGCCCCGTCCGGAGTCCGGTGCGGGCAAGTCCGGGACCAATGACACTGACGTAATCCCCGAAGAGGAGGATGATGACGGGGAGAGCGGCGCTGCAGAGACAGCCAGCGGTGGTGATGTGAAACCCCGGGAGGCGAGCGGCGGCAGCTCCGTCTCGCAGCCCGTGGAAGTCCAGCGCGGCCCCCGCACGGAGGAGGCGGCGGACGGCTCGCCTTCCTCCGCGCAGACCCACGCCGCGGCCCCGGGGGGCTCTGCCTCCCAGCAGCTGAGGAAGTCCTCCGCCCGCAGGAACGCCTGGGGCAACTACTCCTATGCAGACCTCATTACCCAAGCCATCGAGAGCTCCCCGGAGAACAGGCTGACCTTGTCCCAAATCTACGACTGGATGGTGAGGTCTGTGCCATATTTCAAGGACAAAGGCGACAGCAACAGCTCTGCGGGCTGGAAGGTGAGCGCAGACACGCTGCTGCTGCTGTCATCATGACAAAGACCATGTTGTGGTCGTGTAGAAACACACAATGCCCACGGCTGTAGTTCATGTAGAGACGCGGGAGGCGGGTACAAACACTGTGTTATTTGCAGACACCACCACATTTTGTTTTCAGCATCAGTTTCAGACATATTTGCTTTGTCAACAGGGGGG